ATGAATACCTAAAAAGATTCAGTGGAAAACACACAACCATAGGGCAGGGTCTGGTTTGTTGATTATCTCCAACTCAACATGTTTCCAGTGGGAAAAGAAAGAAGGGTGTGCCAACCTTCACTGACACTTGGAATCCATTTCTAATCTCTTACCTGAGGCCGAAGCCACACACATTCCCACAAACTCCTAGAAATATAACAAGCTGCTTTTTACTTCATTATGGTTACTGTCACTAGTCCTCATGGTCCATGGTTCTGTTTTGAGTATCACACCTATCAAACCAAATTAATTGAGAATAATACCTATCCCCCCCCCCCTTTTTTTCTCTTCTCCTCTTCCCTCTCTAATCATTTACTGATCTGTTAATTTCATTTATTTTTGTCTTATGAATGTGTTTACTTACAGTATATATCTGAGTGTATACATAAGTATATGAATGGAAAAGTATATAGTATATGATTGATATTGCTTTATTACTTGTTTCCCCTTTTCTTCTTTGTTATTTTATTACTACAATCATTCCTTTTCATTTATACCCCCTCCACTTTCCTAGTTTATTTGGTTTAATTCTATTTTCCCTTAAGTAATGAATATCAGTCTGCATAGAGTTGGATACACACACTACACACTTTCACACACACAACTCAATACCCTCAATTAATAATCCCTTTGCTTCTTTTGTTAATGTCGGTTGTCTCATTTGTCTCATGTAGTACGTTATGTGCTTTGTCCTGTAAATGTGTTATTTTGTGTTGCAATTTAAAAAGAAATAAAAAGAAATACACAGAAGAAGTACTGGTTTAAACAGTTGAATTTCATACCTGTCCCTGATGCTCAGCATCTGTAAAAGTCATCCTGAACACACGAACACAGTAGAAAATACAGCTAATATAACAATCTAGATATACAATCATTTACATGGGGTTTGAGCATTACCTATTTGCTCTGTTCTGGACATAAACATCAATTTTAAGTCATCTTGAGCTAACTATATTCCAAGTAAATAAACTGGTTCCAGCACACAGCCATAATTTTATCCATCACGGTACCTTTCTGCTACCTGAAGGGCGAGAGGTTGTGGTCTGCGTCTCACTGGGCAGTTAGATTTTTAAATATATTAGTAAAATATTATATTAGTTACATATAACAAGGTGAAAATCTGTGAGATGGCTGCATTTTTGTTTACTTATTTTCACTGAATTATCTATTAGTCTAACTATAAATGAATTACATGTGGTTTGTAGTGGGAATTTACTTGGACAGGACTGAGCCTCTCTCCATAGAGAAGCTCATTATTAAAACTAAAATTGAAGCCTGCTGTTTCCAGTGTACAGGTTGTTCCTAGTTGTTAAAAAAAATTATAATTACTTTTTGTGAATTGTGAAGCTAAGTGGGCCAGCACATCACAATGAAAACAAAGTATTACTATAACTAATGTACCTCTCCATTAACCTCCCTAAGCATGCAATGCTGGTAGGAAGAGGATGCCCTGAGAAAATGTATCATTTTCATCATTGTATTCATCACCTCAGCATGCTCATCTGCCAGGGAGGCGCAGAGGACAGATTGATGAATGATGCAATGGTAAGCTATGAGCTCAGAATTGTCCTCTTTCAGTCTTGCTACAGTTCATTTCTCTCTCCCTATCATAGCAGGGGCTCCATCTGTGGTTACTGAAACCAGTTTTTTTTGGCTCTGTTCCTCTTTTTGTTAACTAATGGCCAGGTAGAAGTCTTCTCCTATTGTACTTGTCTGAAGGGGAGTGACACCTAAGAGGTCTTCACAGAATGCTTTCTGGTATGTGTTTAAAAACCTGACATACACCAACAGCTGAGCATTGTCACACAGGTCAGTGGACTCATCCACAGCTAAGCCTACACATGGTGCCTTATGTATGGCTTCATCTAGCTGGGTTAGCACATTTTGAGTCAATATTTCACCTTTCTTTATGGCAGATGATGCTGACATGGGTATTTACTTTATTTTATCATAAAGCTCTCGTTTTTGTTTTCCCTCAAGTAGCGTTTCAGCTACTGCATTCATGCATTCTTTGACAACCCCTCCATCAGTAAATGGCAAAATCCGAGCGCGTTGTTAAGCTCAGGATCCTGGTGGACTGGTCATATTGGTCTTTAAGACTACTTATTTTCTGTGATCTCACATCATCTTAGAGTGGGTATGTTTGTTCAAAACCTTTGTTTTGTCTCATAGTGGCGTTTCACATGGGCACTTTTAATAAGTGCCACGGTTTCTGAACATGAGACACTTGTTTAGTGCCCCCAGTAGGAAGTATGAACAGAAATGAGTCGGTCCATTCCGGATTAAATGCTTTCTTTTCGCTGTCCACTTTTTTTTTTTTTGGAGCGCGGCACTTGTTCCTTATTTCTCCCTCCGTTTCTCCGTCTCACACGTCTTTTCCTCAACTTTCTCCGGCTCGGCTCTGTATCTCTCCCCGTTTTCTGTACATATATCGTTATCTTTTTTCTTTCTACCGCATTTTCACGTGTGACTTTCCTCTCATCTGTCTGCACTATAGTCACAATATTTACTGTCTGGAATAGACTTGATTGGCTGAATGGTATCACGTGGGATAGCCTAACTCACATGCAATTGGCCTATACATTTCCTCATCCGCTAAACCATTACCGTAAAGGCTACAAAAGCTGCGCCGGTTAAAATAGAAGTGCCCCGTCCGGTTTTAAATCATAACCTTCTGTTTTGCCTGTAGGTCTGGGTCCGGACCCGGACAGTGGTCCACCCTATCAGTGACCCCTGATCTATACAGTACAGTCTAGGTGTAGGCTATAACAACACTGAGGGCTAAGACAACTTCCTGGTGGGTTACATAAGGCAGTGATACCTATTTTTTTAATAAACTTTATTTCACATAACACATACAATATAAGGAAAACATAATAGAACAGAACAGTGCCAGGGGTAAAAACAATAGCAGAATTAACTAGATGAAATAAATAAAGGGAAAGCTACAAATTCTTAATAAAAAGCTGATATTTCTGACAAAGAATATGAGTTTTCAAAGCTTTTGCATTGTCAGAAGAGGAGATAGGCTTTATGCAGAAGTCCATGTAATTACAAAAAAGATAGAAGGTTTGCTTTTTTCAAATTTGCATTTGTGTAGAAAATATTTGCCTTGGAGGATGACTACGTTAATTAAAAATTGTTCTTTACATAATGTGTTTTGTTTTCCCACAGGAAATTAAACCGAATACCATCAACAGTTTTAGAGATTTGATTGTTGACATGGTGCACAGTGCAGAGAGTTCTGCAAAACAAATTCCTTGTGTGTAACATACTTGGCCAATAAAGGTGATTATCCTTAGTAATGAATTATTTAATATCCAAAGTATTGCTTTCTGCAGATGTGTAGAAGAAAAAGCTGTTTTAATGGAAACTGCTTTGTGGTCTGTTAAGGGTGTTGGCAATATATCTACAAATACATTTTATTTGAGCTTAGAGGAGATCAGCCAATAGTCAATACGAGACTGGAGAGAATCACTACTGTTCTGCTATGTGTAACATTTCTGATTGGGATGTGTTGCTCTCCAGATGTCAACAAGATCAAATGTGGAGTGGATGCTACACAGGAGGAATACCTATCCAAACAGTTTGAGTGCAACATTGAAATCCCCTCCGAAAATAATGCAAGAATTTGGGTACTTATTAAGCCAAAGTAATATTCTCTCCTGAAGAGCCTCAATAAGAGAACCATTATGATCCCTAGAATTATAGTCACAAATGTTTAAAATTATCAGTGTATTATGCCCAATGTCAGTTACGAAGAGTAAAAAAAAAAAATGCCTATGACAATCTACCTCTGAATGTAAGACCTCACCAATGAAATTATTTTTTAAGAATACAGACACCTGCTACCCTATTTGTACCATGCAAGAACCACACAGTTTCCCCACCGAGATCTCCAAAAAATAAGGTAATCAGATAGTGTTTCCTGAAAAAAAGAGTCAGTTTTAAGTTGCTTAGCAAATAAAAATAGAGCTTCCCTTTTCAAAGAATGTCTTAAACCCCTGGCATTAAGTGTCACCATAAACTAATAATGTAATAATCATTAATAATAAAAAATAAATGACATGAAAGAACAGTAGGCTGATGCCTAGAACAACGGAGTACAAGTAAGTACTGCCAACCAAAAAAGACTTTCTACAATTATTTGCGACACACAGTGAACAGTGTCCACTGTGCAGGGGTTACTCTGCTCATCTTCAGGGATAACAGCTTTACACATCTGTATGGATGAGCCGTAGATTCCACCTTCTGGAGTAGCTCTCGGAGATTCTCTTCTCACACAGACCAGTGCGCTCCACAACCTGCTGATATTGGAGCTCCACTCGTTCTGCTGTAGCTTTTAGCTCCTCTTTTAATTCAAGTACAGCACTTTTCATCATCCTTTTCAGTGCATCTGATCTGTTGTTAATACGCTGTGCTAAAGTAGATATGTTACCACAGTCAGTGCAGTTACCAGTTCTGCTCCTCTTAGTATCTGGAGACTTACTTGGTGTTATAGGTAACGACGGGAATTCTTCCTCATCCGTGGCATCACATATTCCTGTCTCCACACTGTCCACACACTCATGCCCTCCATCAACGATAGCGTCACTTAAGGCTAACTTTACTTCTAGCTTGGAGGTGATATCCTTGCTAGTCCGCCTTCTTTTCATCGCGATTATTTCCGAGGCCTTAAGCTTCAAACGATGGCTCAAACACGAAGAGCCGACATGACTTTATGGTAAAAGTGAAATTTAAGGAAAGTGAAAACGTTTAACCATTATTTAAAAGTTTTGGTCAGAGGTGCTCACCCTTTCACATGTTTTAAGGAACCATCTTGGATCCTCCGGCGATAGTTCTTCTTCTGTTTATTGGCGGTTTGCAAGCCAACTTAAAGTGCATTACCGCTACCTGCTGGGCTGGAGTGGGGACTCCGGCGATAGTTAGTTCATATCGCGGTTTTTCAACACAGCGAAGAAAACTTTTTCGTATACGCATGCGCAGTCCATACAGCTGCAGCCAACACCAAAGGTCTGGACGGTCTGCGCCTATTATTCCAAGATGGCGGACCTCCTAGGTTCAATCTTAAATTCGATGGAAAAACCTCAAACAGTCGGCGACCAGGAAAGCCGACGAAAGGCTCGAGGTACATAATGTATTGCCTACGTCGCGGCTCGTTATATGTTGGTTTGAAACTGCAGATGTGTATACGATATGGGACTTAGTGTGAAAATGAAAAGGACAAGCGAAGATGCATTTCTCGCGGTGCCATTGGCTAGTTGAGCTTTCAAGTAAACACTGTTGGCCCCGGTTTAGCACCGCCTCAACGGGACGTGCACTCCTGTATGTCCTGCGCTGTTACACCTACACTGTCAATTCGCACGGTTTTATCTACTGGAACCTCTTGATGTAGTTACACTAAGTTAAAGTTACTTCTGAGCATTCATTTTTTATCCACATTTCAGTTGTGAAGACGTAGCTACAACAGAAACGTGATAAAAAGTAGCCAAGTCTATGTTAAGGGATTATATCAATGATTCCCTATAGACACATGTAACAAATAGTACACCAGCCGTGAATTATCCCAAAACAACGGGACATCCGTTTAGACTTTTTGTAACAAATCTTTCAAAGTACATGTCAACCAGTTGTAGCCCTCATGGTGCGTGTTTTTATACTGAAAACCTTTTATCAGACATTAACAAACCCCACAAAAACTTCTGTTCTTTCAAGAGCAAGCAGCAAGAATCAAGAAGATGGAGGAGGAGGACAAAAGAAAGAAAGCAGAGTTCAGGAAAAAGGTGATACTCAGACATCTAATACACATTGAAGGCATGGAGCTGCTGTGCTGTTCATCACATGCAAAATTACACATTATGGCTTCCTGTATCATTTGTTTAGATGGAGAAGGAGGTGTCAGACTTTATTCAGGACAGTTCACAGCAGAAACGAAAATACAACCCTATGGGCAAGATTGAAAGGAGTATATTGTGAGTAGTCATTACTTTATATTAAATCCCTTTAAGCTAAAACATGGTGTGGTCATGACCATTTTGTTCCTTCCCGTTTTGTAGGCACGATGTCGCAGAAGTAGCTGGTCTGACTTCTTTTTCATTTGGGGAGGATGAGGAGTCTCGTTACGTCATGCTTTTCAAGAAGGTCTGAATAGTTTTTAATCCAGTTTTTGATTTTAAAAACCGTAGGGAAGCACATCAAAGTGACTTTTCTACCGTGTGCTGTGGCAGGAGTTTGCTCCATCAGATGAGGAACTGGAAGCCTATCGCAAAGGAGAAGAGTGGGATCCCCAACTGGCCGAGCAGCGGCGAAGACTAAAAGTGAGACTGACTAATACAAAGTCTTGCACATGTATTTAGGTGTTGTCCAGGTGACACTGGTGGGATACTTTGCACAAACAATAGAGCCAGATGAGCAGTCTCCAACTAGATGAAAGTAGACAAATGAATGTCATGACTATTTTATTTCCAAACCTACATTAGTGTTTGTAAGCAGACATGTTTTTACCAGTCTAAAAAACTCAGCATCAGTTAAAATTACATGTCTCAGTATGAAACAAAGTAGAGCTGCCATTATATATAGACACACAACTGTCATATAGGGAGAAACGTATAAGAGGCACCAGTCTCTTCATAGTTTGTCACCTTGTACATAAAGAAATGCAGTCACAAGATTGTATAGCTGAGAAATGTCATCTTTCTCTACATATATTTAATAGGTATAATCTGTTAAATTGCAGGCAAGGAAGGACCCAAAATGCAGAGTTTATTCAGTTTAATATAAAGAAAGAGGAACAAAGGGGTAAACAGATGCTCAACCTGACAGGACTCCACAATACAGATATAAAACTAATATATAATCAGAACAGTCAGGGAGCTACATGAAACTAACTAACTAAAATGAACCTAACCAAGAATCTTGCTGACAGGAAAAATTTAAAACAGTCCAAAAGCAACCAAGGCAACCGATACAGAAACTTCCAAAACAGACAGGGTGTGGTATGCAGGGACACAGATGACAGGAGCAACGAGGCACGGAGAGCAGATAAGCCAGCAACCAGACTGAGCGAAGGGAGGAGGATATATAGGCAGGAGGTAACGAGCAGTAGGTGGAAGCAATGAACAGAAATTGTGAACCGGGGTGAAGCTGGAGCAGGTGAGGTGACACAAGACAGGAAATCTAACCAAAATAAAAGCACCAAACGGGAAGCAAATCCACAAACCATAACATAATCTGTAGTTGACTGTTAGAAGTCCCAGTATCTTCTCAGAAGAGATGCTGAAATATGTTGATTCATTTGCTGAAGTAGAAGAAGGTGAGGCTGGTTGAGGGAAAGCAGGTATATCGAAACATAAGGTTTTTAAACAGTATTGCTCAGTAACTCATAGAATAGATGTGTAGGCTGATTTCTGACACTAGAAGAGTAATAGGGTTGTTCTTTGTATTTATTTCCTCACCGCTGCAGGAACAGGCTGCACTGGAAGAAGCAGCATCCAGTCAGGCAAAGAAATCAGAAGCATGTCCCAACTCCAACTACAGAGACAAGTATAGCCACCTGATTGGCACCTCAGCTGCAAAAGATGCAGCACATACACTAGAGGCCAACAGTGCGTATGGTTGTGGTGAGTACCTCTTGTTGTTATGCTCATCTGTCTCAAAGAGTCATTGTAATGCTTTGCCTCACATCGTTCACACCATGCTTCCTCTTCTCCCCGTTTATTTACTCATCATGTTGGTAATGTTTTCTCCCAGTGCCGGTGGCCAACAAGAGGGACACCCGCTCCATAGAGGAGGCCATGAACGAAATCAGAGCGAAGAAACGGCAGAAGCGAGAGGACAACCCAGGGGCGCACAGCAGCGCTTCTTGAGCCAGTGTCTCAGCTTTCTGTCTGCTGTTGCGTGTGTGTGTGGGTGGGTGTGTCTGTGTGAACACTTAATTTGTTCTGTAATGCAGTATCCTTCACTGCAGACATCAGGTGTTGACTCACTCTAACTGGGTCTGTGCTGAAATCTGTGTGAAGTGGAGGATGCTCAGCTGTGTCTGATCCAGGAGGTTGATCCCTCTACATGTTTGTTGAATATCATGTCTACATAGGTGTAGCGTGAGCAGGTCTGGTGCTCCAGGTGTGTGTGCACAGGATGTGTTCAGGCACAATACTGAGTGTAGGTCACCCGTATTTTTAAAAAATGCTTGGATCCCAATAAGCAGTCACTGTAGTTAAAATGTAAAACACAAAAAATAGACTTGGAGGGTAAAAATATGCTTTGGACTGCATTTACGAGCATGTAGCATCAGTAAACGCAAGCTGCTTGTTTTGATAATAATGGCTTTGGGTGTAAAAACACCTAACAGTTTCATACATAATTTCTAAAGGACATTTTTGGCAGTGATAGTTTTGATGCAGATGTGCATCCACAGACCTAAATGACATTTTTATAATTAAAAGTATTGATCATGTTGCGCTTTGGCCAGGTTGAATGAAGTTTTAGATTAGATTACATTAGATTACATTCAACTTTACTGTCATTACCCATGTACAAGGCAACGAAATATAGTACGCCAGGTTTCAGACAGCACATATTACAGTGTTCCACACATCCACTGCAGTTTTAAAGAGAAACAGAAATCCCTTATACTGACCAGGTTTTGGTCAATTGATGTTTTTATCATTTCAAAACTTGCTAGTTGTAAGCATGCTGCCACGTCCTCCATCATAAGAGGAGCCCTGTTTTAGAAATCCCTGTTTATGGAGGTGTTGGTGAATTTTTAGCAATATGTGATTAAGTCTGTTGATCTCTTTGTTTATATACACCTGCACTGAGTGAACTAAACTACTCCAAGCTAAATGTTTTGTTGTTTAGCCATGTGACAGTTTGCAATAGGAATGGTAGGGAGTTGGGGCGCCAGACACCCTGCTGGGATGTGGGTCACTTAGTTTTATTCCATCTTTATTTTTCATTTTCCTCTTCTTCTTGTTAGACTTTTGGCATCTTGAAGTCTATTTTAACATGGTTGCAGTTTTATCATCCTATGTGTGTTAATAAAGGGAGCACAGTATTACAACTTTGTTTGCAGTCTATATTTCTGCATAACTCTCCATAGGGGAAACAAATACAAAGGGCAACAAACACAACCAAGTCTAATACAATATAAACGCACTTGTGTATCAATGATGATATACTGTAGATGAAATGGTGTGAAGTCTGTCCTGTAGGCGGCGCTGCAGAATAACCAAGAAAAAAAATTTTTTTTTTTTTTTTTTAATTTTGTTTCACACTGTCTTGCAGTTTCTGTCCTGCAGAAACATATTTATTGCGCGCTGAAGACAGACACGCACATGTAATAAAATGGGGTCCATGTTTGCGCTTCTTTTCTTCATTTGGTTTGCAGATGCAGAGCTAAAACTCCGCAAAGGTAAGACCAGCCCCGGCTGATGCTTCTGTCCGATGCCTGCTGTCCCGATGAAACGTATGGGGCTTAAAATAAAGAAAAGCGTGAAATTGCGGTGTCCAACACATCTGAACTGGGGTTATGAGATTATCATCATCATCAGCTCTAGATATAACCGATATTTTGTGGTAAAGTTTATTTACAAAGTTGCGTCACAGGAGTCACCAAAAGTTTAATAATGACTGCTGTTTGTCAGCTAATAGGCAGAAGTGGAATCAGTGCCATTCACTGAAGGGGCATGTCGATTTGGCACCAAGACTCTGTCAGATGTTTTATGTATTCGATTATATGTAAATGCCTTTGTGTTTTTGCCGTTAATTTTATCTGCGCCATACGCGTTTCCCAATAGCTCATCCCTCTCATTTTTGACACTCAGGGTCCGGGGTTGTATGTACTTTCAAAGACAAGACATACAGCCCAGGAGACAGCTGGCACCCCTATCTGGAGCCCTTTGGATTTATGTTCTGCATGCGCTGTTCCTGCACTGAGGTAGCTGCAAACATTTAGAGCCTTTATCTCGTTAGAACAACCATCTCATAGTCTGCCCTTCTGTTGCTCGGCTGTCTGATTCAGCTCTAAGTTGCTGGCGTTGCGGTTGGTTTGTGGTTTTAAAGGTAGCCTATGCTTGTAAACTTTACATTGCAATCTCACTTAGACAGGCCATGTGAAATGCAGCACAATCAAGTGTCCTGCTCTGGCGTGCGCAAACCCAGTAGCCAAGCCTCAGCAGTGTTGTCCAAGATGCACAGGTAAGACTAGACTGTCTTTCTCTAAGCACCTCGTCAGCTCAGAGTTTCCGAGAGAATCAGTTTTTGTTGTAACTTCATGTTCCCCCCTCAGATGAGCCCAGGATCCCTGCAGGGCTAAGGGCTTCAGTGAAATCCTGCAGGCATAATGGAAGTATTTATCAGCCGGGGGAGACCTTCACAAAGCACGACCTCTTTCCATCCAAGCAAAGCAATCAGTGTGCCATGTGCTCATGCTCCGTATGTTACATCTGTTTTACCACTTCTGTTTTTTAGTTAGACTGAACTTTTTTTGCTGGATTCTGTGAATTGGTATCATATCCTAAATGCTTATTGTGTGTAAGTAGTTTAAGGATTACATCTCCAGGTGAGCTCAAGCGCTGATCTACATGTAGTCTATGAAACTGCAGATGAAATTTGTTCATATGCCACTTTTCAGAGCACAGCTACCTTAATTAAAATGACAACAGAAAAATAGCAACATTTTCAGATGTATTTTAATTTTAAAAATATATGACAAAGCATCAGTCCTAGCAATAGTAACTGTAACGTTTCCTCGTTAAATATGTATGAATTTCTCAGAGTCCTCCTTTGATTGGGAATTGTTATTTTTTATTTAAGCACTACCACAGGAAAATTACCTTTTAATTACTACATATACTTTAAATGAGAATCTTTAATGTGCCCCCAACTGTGCTTTTCTAATCATTAGAAAACTATGCCTTCACACACTCCACACACTCCAGACTCTTTAAATTATGGACATCACCCGACTACTTTAGTGGAGATCTGCCCATTTCTTATTTTAAAACTGTTCTTCATGCATTTAAAGATTTATTTGGCTAAATTTTGTGTTTGTTTGGCTTGTGTTTTTTTGTGTAATAATTGAAATTTTAATTTTGTTTGTTGACCAAAAAAACCTAACAAAGTAAAAGTAAAAGTAAAGTAAAAGTAAAAAGGTTTGTATGCTGCATTTTGAGATGCCACTGCTGATCAGGTATCCCTGGCCACAAACATGTTGCTGTTAATTCTATAATGCAGTAAAAGTGGAAATGTATTGTTAAATTTTTAATTTAATTCAGCATCTTGCTTTAGTCCATCCATATGACGCCTTAGCTCGGTTGTGATTGTCAGGAGACAGTGGGTGAGACTTTTAATCTAGAAAACTAGTGATATCAAGTTAACGTTCGTTAACAGATGTTTCTAAGTCTCCAAGGACACAACACATAATAATAAACTTAACAGCCTGACAGTACACATTGTTTATCCTAATGTAACTCTCTCATTAATCTTTTAGTAACATATTCCATTCTCAGTGTTAGAGCCTTGAATTCAGTACAAAATGCTCACAGCTTAGTTTACTTTTTGCAGTTTTTAAAATGGATTACTTTGCAATCATGAGTTTGAGATGTCCTGAGATGGCTTAGGTAGTAGACCAGGCTGTCCATAATTTGTAGTGTGGCTGGTTTGAGAGTCCTTGAGCCTTTAGTTATTTCCTATGAGAAGCTCTGACACCACTGGTGTAGGAGTGTGGCTGTGTGTGGAGAAAGAATATAGAATTAGCTTTGGACAAAAACCAGATGAATGTAATGGCTCATTGTGTTTTTTCTGACATAGTTCAAGAACATTAGATACCAGAAGAGACTGTGTTGTATGGACTTGATCTCTGTTATTAAACAAGCATGTGATATATAATATGTCACATACTTTAATAATGAATCCATATAAATATGTAAACAACTATAGAGAGGCCTGAAAAAGCATTGGCGTACTAAAGCTGTACTTTTCTGGAGCGCATGCTTGAAAAATAAGGACATTTTCCCACCCTTTGTTTCCTCAGAATGGACACATCTTCTGTGCTCTGAAAACATGCCAACCCATCACCTGTTCCTCACCAGTCTCTCTTCCAGATACCTGCTGTTTGGTGTGTAAAGGTAGTGAAGCTCCAACCTTCTAGCTGTTTTCAACCTGGAATAATATTTTTTAGTAAATACGGCTGAATAATAAGAACCTTTTTTTGATATTGATATGCCATGGAATACAAATAACCACATTCTTAATTTTTTTACATTACAACGTGTTTGTAGTTTAGTAAAACAACATCACAATATGATTATATCATTATGATCCAATTCCACTAAAAGCTGATATAGGATAATATTTAATTTCAGCACTGCACAAATGTCAGTGCAGCCAGGCTGCCATGTTTTCTGTTATAGTTCCCTCATACTTGGTTTTGGTATTTTTCTCTTAGATCAAGACACCAGTGGGTACTCATCAACTGAGGATGGAAACCAGCAACTGAACAGAGGCGTTGTATGTCCTCACCAGTTTGACATAAAATTTACATTATGATACATTTTGCTTTCAGATGAAGCTTGACAAGCTTTAAAAATACATGTGAGAAATAGTTGTTTTATCAGTTGAGTGTCTGCACTTAGATGGTGTGTCCCTGAGCATGACACTGAGGCCACTACACACTTTATGGAGCTGACGAATGCCTTTAACCTCTTTGTCTAAAAGCACAAGAAAATCAATTATTTTCCCTTGAGGACTGCTATAGTACTGCTCAATTTGGCATCACATTATTCAGCTTAGTGCTCAAGCATCCATTTTGCTGTGATCATTAAAGGCAAAGACTTCAATTTTCCTCACGAGATCTATGATGATCCTTCTACTGTCACTCAGGGAAGAAGCATGTAAAGCTAATATCTGAATGGATGAAAGATAACTGCTTTTTATTATATGTCTGTGTATATAAAGAGGCATTCAGTTGACCAGTGTTCTGGAGAGCTGAGCAGGGCGTGGCCCGACCGTACCACTCCAACCAGGGTCAGGACATCTGTAAGAGGCCTGAGTCTCAGTAAACTTAACCTCAAAGGGGCTTCGGAGACCACTGTGAACATTTTGTTGCAGAGGAAACACCAGAGAGGTGAGTCTTTTTCAAAACAGAAGGATCCTTTATAGGTGTTTGATTTTACGGAGATGTTCCTCACAACTTTACGATCGTTTCCATATGTAGCACAACACTCAGATGTTTTCCATTTCGCTCAGCGTGTTTATACAATGGCAAGACATATTCGCATGGAGACATATGGCACCCAGTTTTGGGGAAGGTCCTGGAATGCATCCTGTGCACTTGTACTGATGGCCTCCAGGAATGCAAACGCATCACGTGTCCCAGCCAGTATCCGTGCCAACATCCTATGAAATCAGCGGGAAAGTGCTGCAAGACTTGTCCAGGTATTCAAACAGTCATAATATAATAAACTGTTTATACTGACATGATGATGATTGGTTGTAAACATCATCCACATAACTTCTCTCTGTCTTTTTTTCTCTCTAGAGAGTAAAACGGAAAGTAACCAGACCCAGTGTTATCTTGGATATAAGAATAATCTCTTGGTGTATAAAGTGGAATCATCTTTGAAAATTGACCCGCCCAACACCGTTAGGATTATTGCTGTTGAAAGACAAAATACTGCTGAAGTTGAAGTGCAAGTATGGAAGACTGTAGAAGGTACTGTAACGACTGATGGTAATTTTGGTTAAGGTAGTTTTAGTTATACTGTTCCAGAAAACAGCCTGTATAACTACAGCTTGTGGTGGGTTTTTGTAAGGTTAGAGAAGTGAGCTTGTAACCAGAAGGTTCCCCGGCCCAGCAAGATGAAATCTGTCTAAGACAGGTGATAAAGCAGCACTTGCCTCACCCTTATTAACACCACTGTGGTCTCCTTGAGCGAGACCCTTAATCTGAGCCGCCCAGTGGCCACTGGTCAGTCTGTGGTTGTACTGGGCTGCTCCCAGGTGTAACTGTGTGAATGTGAAAAAGAGAGGCGGCCTTTCAGACAACCTACCCTGATTAAAAAAACAAGACATAGCATTTAGTAATTACTGAGCTTTGGAGCTGCTGGAAGGTGTTGTCTTTGTTAGCTACCGGCTTCTAGCTCCAGCTTCAAATTTATCATCAGAGTGTTCTCATCTACTGTAACTCTCATTGCAGACGTGAATATGCATGTTTTCACAAATACTGAGTGATTATAAAATATACAGTAAATGTAGGCTACAGTATTGCTGCACCAGTGTATGACTCTCATCTGAGCTCTTTGTTCTTACAGGGGTTTTACAATTAATGGAAATTGGCAACATTCAAAGAAAAGATATTGTGGATCATCCAGAAAATTACACGTTGCTGACAACACTCGATGAAGGTTTGTTACTATTTATATGTTTAGATTCTGGTAAACTCATTTTAGACTTATTTTAATATGATTATTTGGATGTTTTTGTGCCTGACGTATTTTAATTCACAAACATTTTCCAGAGACATGGAGAAAGTTTAAAGAGGAGGGAGAAAATCTGAGTAAAGCTCCTCAGAATACAATTTGTGAAGATGGCATTCGGGAGATGGTGGCTTTCCTAAATCCCAGGCAGATTGAAGGATTGTGTACACCCTAATAACCACTTTTGATATTGATACTCCCAATAAGTACATGGGTGGCATCTATACTTCAGTCATACATGTTGCACTTGGATGTCCTGCCTCATTACTGTCACAGTTTCTCATTTATAATGTTGCTTATCAGTCCACCTGGAGTCCATTATGTTTTAATCATCACATTTTTTATTTTATTTAAGTGGGTGGTTTTAGTTGAAAGCTCTAGACATAATGCAACAAAAAGTAAACGTGGACACAGCTCTGAACTGGAAACAGTTAGAGCCTCTAGGTATTAATTTGAAATGAGTGTTTTTCACACAGATTTTGAGATGTGCATTTATAGAATGATTGAGGACATTTTGGGATCAGTGTTTTCTAAACAATCCCTTTATAAAAATAATATGTATTTTAGAACAGTCACCAAGGGCCGTGTATTTTTTAAAAGAATTTTATATGTTCATCAACATATTTATTGTAAATACAAGGTTTTCTCACCTTATTTAAAGCTTATTGGTTTTTGTATGATTTCTGTGTATATACATTCGACAGTCTGAATGTTGTGTTTTACATGTACACAACAGTGTCACCACGGTGTAGAACAAACGGAGAAAACAGCCTTTGCATTTCATTCTTTGTGATGTTAAATATAGACCTACTGTAGCTATTTTTAATCAGCCATTTGGTTTGTTGTCATAGCCTAATGACTTTACCATAAAGTATTTTTTAAATGATTCTAGTAGATGTAGTTGAATTCATTCTGTGCTTCTGCTCGAGGTTGCAACCCATAAAGTGTTCTCAATGTTTTACACTACATTTTTGTCTGATTTGTTTCTAGCTGTAATTTTTATGTTTAAATGAAATTGAATCATTTCCATAGAGTCATACAGCTCACAGTAAGATAGCAGGAGTATGTAGGCTACCCGAGAAAGGCTTAAGATGTGGCTCAGAGCCTGTAGTTGTTGAAGGCAGTGTTTGAAAAACATTTTCTGATTCATCTCTGGTCTGCGTGCTGGCCCTAACACCGTCATCGCCGGAAGGCTTCAGTTAAACAGTGCACCGGAAGGCTGGATAAACTGTGTTCCCACTGGGGATGAAATGTTATCAGAGGCATGAAAATCAAAAGCAGAAGTTGAAACTCCCTTCACCCCCAAAACTCACATACACATTATTCTCCCAACACCAGATTTCCTACGAGAATCACTTGTTATTAGTTACCTTAGTGGGACCAGCTCCTGATGACTGGTGCCTTCATTTCACTCCTGTGTAATCATTCTACTTATTCCTCAGAATTAACAGCATGGCGCCCCATAACACCTCATTTTCTGTTGACTCTCCTCTGCTTATTTGGGATGCTTGAAAGTCCAATTTGAAATGACTGTAAACACAAGAATTAACAAACAAAGGTAAATATATTCTGACATGACTGTAACTACAGTACATAGGCCTACTGTATTTACAGAATATTTATTCCTGCAACCCTGTTTGGATGTCAAAGGGTCCATTGTATACTTAAACACTACAGACAGAAACAATGTGTAAAATATCTTTAGTTCAAACATTTTTTATTTTTATTTTTATAGTTTGGATCCTGTTGTTGGTACAGTGTGCTAACTGCTAACTGTAGGTCAACAAACCAAAGGGCATCTGTGTGCAAACCTTGCACAAGGCTTGTTCCTTCTGCACAACCCATGTGTGACCTGTGAGAGCAACAACAGTCTTTTTGCTTGGCAGCGCTGTGTGCTGTCTGGTTGCAGGCCTGTTTGATCAACAGGTGTCAAATTATCACTGCAGTTCCCCCTGACTCGGTCAGTGTGCAGATATGGTGAGTGAGTTCTTCAGAACAATCTTTCTTCCCTTTTCTGTGAACTCCTGCTGTGCTCTCTCTGTCCCCTCCCCTTCCACAGTGATTCATTGTGTTTCTCTTACACTTTGCACCAGACAGCTCTGTCTATCTCTCACTAAAGGCATGAAACAATATTTTGAAACAGACGCAGTTCCTTTGTATGGCTTCATTACACTCACAGAAAGGCCTTACTTGTCTGAAGATGGTATTCTAGTCAAAAGGGGGAGAAAGGGATATTCTGCTTTAGTGCTGCTTACTTAAAGTATTAATTAACATTTTCACGTAGTCATTTTCTCATACAGGTCATTAAAAATGTATATCAAGTGTTCAGGTTTTAAATATCTTTCATACATGCTGTGTCTGTCTATATCTCTGCCATTGTGAATGTTTGATTTCATCTCAGGGGCCAATTCAGCTATGGACGCTGAATCTTGGCTCTGGCAATTGTAACAGCTGGGGGCAGTCAGTAAGTATAAATCATGCACTCAGTCAGCTCTGTGTATGTGTACTCCACCCTGCTGCCCATGTAGTCCAGATCTGGTGAGAAGTGAGAAGAAAATGTGAGACTCAGGGTCATGACTCAGCCCAGGACTGGAGGCACTTCTTAGCCATTGTAATATTAACTAATAATATTAACAAATCTGTTTTTGCTTTTATCAGAGAACATCCACTTGTATGTGCCACAGAAATAACAGAATCTTTGAAATGGTTCAAGTTAAAGCTCAGCCTATTTGTAGCTTTGTCTTTCAAATGAAAGCAGCTGAGTTAGTTATTTCAAAAGAAATAAAGCCTCCTTCCCATCTGCGGCAGTGAGTAGTTCCTCACAGATGTGTACAGTGTTTGTGAGCAACTGAAGCATTGCAAATCAATCAGGCAGTCATTTGATTCAAAGGGAGCCAAACAGTGTTAATTGAGTCTGATTGATGTGTTTGCTTTCATAGCTGATTATGTTGCTCAGCAGAACCACTGAGTTTATACTTCATCACAGTACTTCCAAAATCTATCAAGGGCTGTTTTTCACACCCGGCCATTAATTAAGTTGGTCTTTATCGTTTTAGCTGATAATTGGACTCTGGACAAGAAAACATGGACAACGCCCGGATACATATCATGAACGCTTTGGTCTTTATCCCGTCATCCTGAGGCCACACATTTAAACACATGCTCGTAATGAGTGAGAAACCACAATGAGATCTTTTGTTTCACAGGATGAAGAAGACGGACAACAACACATATGATATGTAATTATTAATGGCCTCTTTTCAGATGTCAGCCTGCCTGCCCGAGCCTTTCCAGGATTACATGGCAATTGTGTTACAGTTCAGTTGTCCATCAGAGGGAATAATGACTTAGTTTGCAGTGAACTCATTTGGCACTTGAGTAATGAGGAGTGTTGATGAGGTATTCAGACCCGTTCTTCCTGAGCCAAATCTGGTGTCTGAGCTGCCACAGGGTTCTTCTCAAAGCTAAACCGTCGGCCTGAAATTTGAGAGTCAAACAAACTGTACCCAAACATTTCTCTGGCTTGATTGCAGCAATGACTGCTCCAGATGTGAAAATGTACTGCATTCAAATATATGGAAAAAACACATTGATATATAAACACAGATCTGTCTCGCCTAAGACACACACCGTCGATGCCTTTCTCCACTGTGTCTTTTGTTATTTTTGCTGCTGGATGGAGAATCCAGCTCTCCTGCCAGATTTTGTGATTTCACAAAGAGCACGGATAAAAATGTGTTTTGAGTTAATAACTCACTTCCATCAGTTTTTCATGGTGAGACCAAAGGAGGTTACAGAGGACAAGCGTAGCTGACTGTAATTGTCCATTTATTATGTGTTTATGTTAATGTGACGAAGACTATAAAAATAAAATGATGAATTACTTTTGGCTTCACTCTTCACCATGAAGTAAAACTAACCTTTTGCCTTTATGATATAAATTACAGACATACTCTAAGTGAATGGTGTAATATTCTTCAGCCTTGAAGTGAGATCAGGAGGCCATTTTCACTTCTTCACCATGCATGTCTAAATAAAAGCCACTGATATACAATTAGAAATTTAATTAAACTTAGAGGCATCCAAAGCAGCATCAATAAAAACATATCCACTAAACACTACAGTTTAGTTTACTCAGTATGAGTATTGCTAACTGTGACAATGGTTTTATAATGTCCTCTCTAGCGAGAGCTCTCCCACGTTTGAGAAAAATGAACCCTCATGATGTTTTAGTGATGACATCAACCTGGGTTTAGAGACTACACATTTATCAGACAAGAATGTTCTAGCATTGTGGGAAGTGTAGGATCCAGCAGTTTTGAACCATAAGGAGTAGAAATCAGGATGTGTTTGTCTTATTGTTTCAATTTTGATCCCTTTTTTAAAAGCCTTTTATGAGTGTCCCACTTTATGAAAGTTCAATGCAAAATTGATGGAGCTCCCCCTTAACAGGTACTCATCTTGATGGTATTTCAAGATTATGTTATTTTCTGCCAGCTGGACTGGCTCAAAGGCCACAAAAAAAGAGAACAGACACACTACCGGAGTAACAGTGTTTAGTGAGTGTTTATCAAGTTAATGAAAAATGCAAATATGAGGTGTGGAAGTAGGTATCACCAATGTGCATATTGTAGGTGCAAAACAAAACCAGAAAGTTAATTCAAACCTAAAAGACAACGCGGCGTGTGGTGTGGAGACAGGCATTCATACATTTCTTTATACTCTTTTAATTATTTAACTTATTAAAAATTTGTTAAACCTTGTTACTGCGGGGCCTCCCTCCTTGTTGTGGTATTTGAACTGCTCATACCACATCACTGATAGTCATAATAAATCAAAACTGAGGTAGAGCTGAGGCAAGTTTTAATGGGTTGGAACAAACACACACACACATAATGGTGACAGAAGCTGAAAAGCAATTTTCTTAATGCATGTTCTTATTTTTCATCACCATCTTGTGAACATTTAATATGTGGATAGTATAAGTGTTTCTGACGAGTCTATACTGAGGTCTGTCTGCCTGGAATATAACAGCAAAAACTGTGACTTAATCATTGCCCCAAACTAGAAGGCTAACATGTATTACAACATCTTGCACAATAATGCATGTCCATTTTCTTTTATATCAAAGAATTCCAGGAGGAAAACATTACACATATGCAACCAGAGATGCTTGAAGTACTAATCATTATCATTTCAAGATTGCATTATAACAGCTTTCTTGTCAGGCAACAGTAAATTCATGCCAGGTCTTACTGGCTGTAGAACAAACTCCATCATTTTACCGAAAGGAACAACAAACCCTCAGAAAGTCTTTAGCTGAGTTATACTGGAGCCTGGACAGAGCAGTGAAAATCAGCAACACACTTTAAAACAATTCTGATATAATTCAATCACGCTGAACATCAGAGCTTTTTAGCAGCTGTGTTTTCCAGTACTGTGGGATATCTAACACCAGCGTGGCCGAGTAGAGCTGAGCTCCAGTGGATGGGAAAATAATATTACTGTAGCTCAGTGTCCTCATTACCATCAAATATACCAAGTGCTGGTCTATTTACTGGAAATGTCTGATTGTTTTTGTTACCTGAAATTAAAGCAAATACACCCTTTACACTTTTTAATGGTAAATTAAGCCACTCATATATGCAAAATACATGTTGCTGTACCTGGAAATTTTGAATATTTGAGGTCTTTTGTATCTCAAAACATATTATCACCTTTGCTGACGTATTGTGGTAACCAAGCCATTTAGGTCTTTCACTGTCAGATTTTCAAATTGGAGCATAACAAATGTTTGTGTCAGTCACAAAATAGCCAGTCGTTTAATTTTGGCTGGTTGTTGCACAAACTCTAAACAAATATTTTGCTTATTGGTTTTGATAGTTAGTATTATTATTAATAGCAACAATAATAAGTCAACGTAAGTTTCAATGAAAATTTAAAATCAAATAAAATGAAAATGAACATCTGCTTGCAGAAGCACTGTATACACAGCGCAGTTTACCATTAAATATATAGAGAACATACACAAGCTGCGTGTAATACTGTAGAATCCCTGCATGAAATACCTTCAGAGAACCTGTTGATTTATTCTACCTGGGGTGAACACACATTCCACATCTGCTCTGATGAAAAAGATTTGAAATCATGTGAAGGACAGGGCAATGACATTAAACAGGAAATGAACAGCAAAAAAAATTAAATAGAAATTTTAAGATTAAGGAATGCCACATATGATTTATCAACTTCTGGGGTAATTATGGAAGGATTATGAGACAATGGGCCCCAGGGCACATACATGAAAAGCCCCCACCCCTCCGGCCCTTCTAGGACCAAGAGAAACCACATGAGTTTGAGTCGTAGTCACTTTATCTTCTTGTGGTTGTTTTGCATCTGTTTTTATCCATTTTGTGTCAATTTTACATCTTGTAAGTCCTTTTGCTGCCTTTGGTCACTTTCTGTGTTGTTAATGGGTTTGTATCCCTTTGTAGTTGCTTTGCACCTCTTTTTTGTCTCAATTTGTGGCTTTTTGTAATCATTTTGTACTCATTTGATTGACTTTCCAACAGAAAGGTTAACACTTACTTGACGGTTGTCTGATCTCAAGGGCGCCCCTCAACCCGTGGGACCATTAGGCCTGTGCCCAGTATGTGAGCTCAGTATTTTATTCATGAGTGTAATAAGAAATTATCCTTTATGTGTTTAGGGATGTGAACTGCAAATCCTATTTAAGTGCAACTGTTCCACTAAATACACTAAATAAATATACTCAATTCATACAGTGGCATTATTGTTTCTGAAACCTGTGAAAGCAGACACACTGGGCTGAAAAAACACCATGAAAGTTATGAGATCGATAGTAACAGTAACATAGCCAGAAGTCTATAGGCTACAGCTTCTACTGTACCACTTCTGAACGTGAGTAGCAGTGTAACATTTATTGACAAGGTTGACAATAATGCAAAGTTCCTATTTTGCCCCTAAAATGAATTATACTTTAAGTTACCACATGGCTCACTGTGGACTTTAATGTGATATTTTATTAATTGACACACTTCCATTGGTTTTTGTCCATTGGTTAGGAAATGAAAAACAAGCACAGAGTCACCTATAAAGCAGCATTGCTTCAGTGTCCGCTTCAGCAGAGTGGAGCCTTAGACGATTGGTGTTGGAACTGACATCTTCTTCACTGATTACCACAGTCTGTTGGCCTATACTGGAATGAAAGATATCACTAGTAATTTCATGCTGGGATGTTCAAGGGTGTTCTTATGGGAACAGTTTGGGCCAGAGGAAACGGTGAAACTGTTCTGAGAACTGAAAAATACAAAAGTACGCAATCAGTTTAAAATGGCTCTCCCCAAAGAGGAGCCAGTCAACTTTTCTTTTGTACAGCTGAAGTCTATTAGTTGATGCAAGAATGCTGAATTGAATCTGATCATAGCAGTAGTGGTGCAGCTGCTCCGAAGCATCACTCTGTGCTTGTCAGTATTAATCAGACAGACTCACGGGAAAAGACAGAAACAGTATTTTCAGCAGATGCCACCCAGTTGCAGAAGTAAACTCTGCTGAGTTCTTCATCTGTAGCTCTCCCCGTGCAGTTGATTACACCGCAAACCGAAGCTTTTGAAAGATTACAGGCTATGCGTTTCTTGTTGGTAAACTTCAAGATAAAATTGTTCTTACAGGCAGTTTAATGTTTGCTGTGGGGAATCAATCTATAGTTCATGCACAACATGCAAAATTTACTCAGCACTACTTTTATTTTGAAATCTGGTATGGTCTAATAATTTCTACTCACAGCAACTGTATGCCAGTATCATCAAACATGGTTTAGGTTGGTGTTTCCATCAGACTCTGTGCTAGCTGCTTGTTCCATTGTTTTCTTATAGACCATCTTGTACTTGGTCTTCATGTCCCTCAGCAGTGACAGAGCTTCCTTATGTTCTTGCTTGTCAACACCCGTGCCATGTATGACGCTGCCTGAACAGGAAACAAAGTGTTATATAAAGAAAGCTAAGGTCATGAAAGGTAGCTGACTCTGGTTGCATCAGAAACATGCATACTTAAGGCCACTTCTCTTATAGTTGTACTCGCTCTGATTTCCTTGATCATTTCATCAACCCTTTCAGTTGGCTGCTTTATTGGTTTTAAAGGTGGAAGTTCCTTAATCTGTGTACAGAAACAGTCAATTCAATAAAAATGAAAGTGTAAAAATCTTCCCCGTTATATTAGTTGTAATTTGAAGGTAATACTGAGTGTGTAGCAAAATATCCAACCCTTTTCTCTCTTTCTCTGTACGGTGTCTGGATGCTATCAAGCTTTGGTTTCGAGTCTCTATAAACATTAAGATTCTTCAGTGTGTGTTCCAGCATCCGAACAGCTGTTTGAATTCCTGTTGAAAGAAAAAAGAAAGCATGACTATTCTTCACTATGAGCCTATTGTATAGCCAAACTCTTTAGGGATTGAGGAAAATGTACAAATATAAACAGCTGCAGGTGAAACTACAGTCCTCACTCCTCACCAATGGGCTCCACCACATCAGGATCTAGTTTTGCATCCATCAACATTTTGTAACAGTCAAATTTTTCACGAATGCTGGCTTCTTCGTTTGCTTCCTCGCTCTCTGTAGTTTCTTTCTCATCAGCCTGATGCTCAAACACATATTCAGAAACATCTTTTGCCTGAGAATGATGTACCATTCAGTAAGGAGAGAATATTATTTAAAATGTAGACACTAATTCACCATACATTTATAAAGACTATTTATAAAGGCTACACATTTGTGTTTCTCAGCTGAGCAGAACGACACCAACTGGACATGTGCATACCTGAGTAACAAAGAAGTGCTCTGTATTTTCTTGAAAGGTGTCATCTCTACTATTCTTTCCCTTGACAGCTGCCTCCGCTTGACTTTGTGCAGGGCAAGATGCATTCATCAACAAAAATGGCTTCTTTGACACATTTGAGTTTGTTTCTTCCAGCTACAATAAAAGATTGTCAAAAGAAGAACAACGACTGATGTAACTGTGTAATTTTCATTGTGGAATCAGGAGGGCCATGATCACACAGCATCGACGGTGCAGAACACATCAGACCTTCCACTTTGGATCAGTGGCCACCTTCAGTGGGAGCTTCATGATATCTTGTGTCTTCTTACGCTTTATCGTTATCCCCAGTCTCTCTTGGAGGTAATAGGTCAGTAAAGGAGGGTCTCCTGTGTTCAAGCAAAAGTCATGAAGACAATTTTATCATATAAAATTCTGAATGATTATATAAAAGCTCCCACTTACCACTTCTCTGTGTAGTCAGTGGGTTGGAGTGAATATCAATTTCATGGAGCATTTGGAAAAGGGCGGCAGCCATCAGTGCTTCTTCTTCTGCAATCTGATGACAAAACACTGATCAGACACATTAGTTAATATTCGAGAAAAAAAATGTTATTTATAGAAAATAACAACCACCTTGTTGTCAGCTAAATTGAGGAACTGAAGCTCTGGCAATGGCAAACTAGATCCTATGCACTGCTCCTTCCAGTTTTCCTGTGAAAAATCAAGTTTATTGCACAGATTTAAAATGTGGGCTACAAAAACACAGCGAGGAAACAACTGAAATGCTAAGAATCAATTACTTTTGAGATCCTCTTCAAATTTTCATTGGTGTTAGGATGCGGCTCAGTGTAGGCTGATTTGACAGGATAAAAATGACTAAATCAGTATTTTTCTGAGGATGCTGAGAAAACTGTGTTGTAGGTCCATTATATCAAGCAGATGCTGAGCATTTACCAAGTCCCTCTTCTCCAGCTTGCTCTTCCTTAGAAGTCTGTGCAGGGTTTGAACAGTGCGTCAGTCCCAAATACGGTATTTCAGAAATGCGGTTGCCCTGTAGGTTTAAGTACTTTAGCCTGTAATTGAAATAAAATTTAAAAAATCAGATGACTTTAAATAACATACTGAATGGTACTCTTCATGACAAGTGATTTGACTATGACATGGTGGTGTGACTTTTTAAGTAAGACTTCACCTAACATAGTATAAAGAAAACTTCAAACCATAGTGACCTCTTAAGGTTTGTTAGACTGATGAAGACTCCAGAGGACAGTCTGTTATTATCAAGCATCAGGACTTCGAGAGCTCTAAACTGAGTGTCTTCTCCTTTAGAAGGCCTGTATAAAAAATAAAATACAACTATAAAATCAATCAACATTATAAAAACCCATACAGAACATACACTAATAAAACGGTGACTGGTGAATGCATTTAATAAATACAGGTAATTGTGATTCATAAATTTACATACTATAACATACTATATAGCCTACTGTATGTGTGAACACCATTTTCTGCTCGACTTCATGTACCTGGTTGTAGAGCTGGTGTATTAAATATCATTACACTGATTTCAACAGAATCAGGAGAGTGAATCTAGAAGGTTCGTGCACCCCCTTCTGGTAGATTTGAAAACATTTCAAATGCACTTTTTTAACAGTTTTAGACTTTTCTCTGTTTTTAACTATACAGTATGTATGTCTACATGTAAAAGTTTTAGTGCTATGAAACCATAGCCGATGTAGTATAAGTACATTGATAAGCAGGATGAACTATCCTACCAAATAAAGAATGGAGTGACTAATTTGAAAAAAAAAAGTCACTGCAGAACTATGAAACATTTGCCTGGGATAAATTATGATCAATTCTTACTTATAAACTATAACCATAAAGTTATGGTGTTATTTTATAAGTTGGATATTGTATAATGTGTGGACATCTAAGAAGCAGACTAGAGTCAGACTGCAGGTAAACAATGAATTAGCATTTCTGTGGAAAATATGTCTTGAGGCAGATTAGTTGTCTTTCATTCTGCCAGCTTTTCCATGACTCATATCAAAGTATTTTTTGGAATAGTCTTTATATGGAAAGTCGGCTTGTTGCCACTGACTTACTGGCATAACAGCTGTTGCACAAAGCAGTGCCTGACAGAGGTGATATGTGTGAATTTGGGATAAAAAAGGAAGCACACACACTAATTTAAACAATTATCTACTTGTCTTATTGCCATTTGTCATAGAATGAATGAGCAAATATTGTTAAAAGAGAAGAGGACTAATAGCATAAATGTACAACAAGTAACAGACAAACGATGAAAACTCTAAGCAAAGAAGGGAAAATGCTGATCACCTATTGTCTGTGATCATAGGTGAAGACCTTTTTCATTAGCAGAAAGAATGTTACAGAACAAAACAACAAAAACTCCTATATTGCTGCTTGAGGGACAATAAAGTAGTGTACTAACAGTTGGACAGGGTCATGGGTGGACAAACCCAGATTAGGAGGAAGACGATGAAGCTGATTTCCAGTCAGATGAAGGACTTTTAAATGTGGAAGCCGACCAATGGAAACAATATCATCAGTTGACAAACGGTTGTAAGACAAATTCAAAACCTGTGAGGATTTAAATAGCTTGCTTAAATAAATGTAACATTATCAAGAAGACTAGTTACACAATTGCTACAAGAAACCATTAACACGGTGAAAGCCTGAGTTGCCGCAATTTTACATATTAACAATGTTACACAGCTACAGATTTTCTACATTACCTGCTGCTCTGCCCTCAATTAGCATGAACTAATTGTGAATTTTACCATCCCTCCTTCATCATTTTTGCCAAAAAGAACAAATATTGAAACTGTATTTTTTTTTTAAATGCATAATGTTGGTGTCAGGGACCAAGCAGTAAGGCAGAAGACACAGCTTCACATGGTGAAGGCCAGGACTGAGGCCTTCACAGTTGGCATCAGTAGAAATACACAACTTAAACTAACAGGGGAAAAAGTCACAAAGGAGCAGCCTAAAGACGATGTTAGCATTTCTGATAGAAGTACAAAGCTTTTGAGTACTTATGACTAAAAAGATCATGCAAAATTGCATACTACTACTACTACTGTGACATGTTAATAATCCAAAAAATACTATAATGATGCTAGTGCATCTACGTTGTCAAAATCAGTCTTACCTCCAGATGAGGGAAGTCAGCAGCATGAAATATCAAGTTGCAAATACCATTTAAGGACAGGTTGAGTTCTCTTAAAAACCCAAAACAGCTGAAAGAAGCTTCATAAAAACAATGGACATTTTCAGACACAATATATTTTTACAAAAGCCACAAAATCATACTGAGGATACATATCCATGATATATAAGAATAACTACCTAAAGAGAGGGAGTTAATGGATGCATCAATGTAAGCTACATTGTCAAACATCGTGAGGTCTTCTGACTTGACCTGTGCAAAGAAAGAATCACTTTTAATACCTTTACCCATAGACTACCAAAGTATTTTGACTACAATGTGAAAATGATTCTTACAGAATTCAATTTCTGCTCACTGATGTCAATGGAGGAGAGCTCAGATGGTTTATCAACGCAATGTAACCGGAGCTATAAAAAAAAATTGAAAACGGACATTGTTTAGTTACCAACAAGGGACTGATCTTGCTTCTGTATGTAAGCAAGTACACTTCAATGACTTACCAGGAAGGGTCCATCTAATATATTACCAAGAGGAGAATCAGTCACCCTGTGTTTGCTTTTATAAGTTTCTTTTATTCTCCTGTGGACATTTCTATATTTCTGCTCCTCTGCCTTTCTGTAAGCTACAAGCCAATGACCAGCACCTAGAAGAAAAATAAAACAGAATAAAGCAGATATTGTTTGCAGATTTATAAATGTTTTTAGACCTGTGGCTGACAATTATTTTTCATAATCATATATAGTCTGCTGATTTTCTTTCCAATTTTAACCATGAAAAAGTGTGAAAGATGGCCAACCTAAATTTCCATACGCTCTATTTAGCTGACATTGAACTTGTCTTGTCTGACCAGCAGCCCAAAACCCAAAGATATTCAGCTCATAATGATATAAAACAGAGTAAAGCAACAAATTGTTAAAATGTTAAAGGCAGAACAGGAAAAATATTTAGTATTTTTTTTGCTTTATTAATATCTCAGAACACTTTATTCCACTGCTGGACCAGTTTATTAACATTTCCAACTACAGATGATGAATTAAGCTATTGTAGACACCTTTAGCCTACAGGTGACTGACTGACCTTTGAAGTCTATTGCAAACTGAGATACCTGTGACCCTTTATTGTTGGCTTGCTAACACTTAAAGCTGCAGACTTGAGGACTTGGAGGTCTCCCTACTGAGTTTAGATGCTAGAAATTTGTAATGCTGATAGAGGATTTAGCACAACCCGGCAACCCAGGAGTTGTTGTAATGAATAAAACATTACTAGGAGATTTATTAAAAATTGATAAACCCATTAATAAGCAATGACGCCTTTCTAAATTGTATCTTATCAAAGAGTTAAAGAGTTTAATTATATTAACTTGCAATACTACAATAAATCTCCCTATTATTTGTGGTAAGATAGTGCCTTTGTCACTGAATATATTATTTTCCTGCACCCAAATAACTAATTAATTCAAGCTAAGTACACTGGCTTAACCAATTTAACCCACCTTCCTTCCTTCGACGGAGTAATGTCGGGGATAGGAAACATTTTGTAGAACAGCTCGGTCCATCATCAAATTTATAGGACGCCGTAGTCTTCTTGTTTGCTTGTGTGATCAATTTATCCTCAAACAACATTTATGCGAGTGTTAATTATACTTTTCTCGGACTGAACTTGCAAAAAACAAGCTATTTAACAATATACTTCAACTACACTGTATTGCTCTGTATCTTAGCAATAGTACGTACACCGAGAGCTGGCCCTCCTATTCAGCGGAGTGCGCAAAAAGGTGAACACGAACATTTTTTTTTTTTTTTGCGGACGATGGCGTAAGAGACCGGGGAGCGTAACATTAGCTGGTTAAAGATTGAAGTCAATGACAAGATAACAGCATAACGTATTTAAAGACGTCAAACAGTCATTGTTATGATTATGCAGCAGTCTTTGCGTAGCCTATACAATACGTGATATAATATTACATCTGAAATTGTTTAGCACAGTACGCATGCGTGACGCTGCTTATTGGCGTCATTGCAGTAAGTTGGTCGTTTATGACTACTCCTCTCCTGGAACAGTCGGTGGCTTCTTTGACTGCTATGTATTTATTGCGTTAACACATCACCGAAAATGGGAGTATATGATGCTTTAGCTGTCGCAGCTATCGAAACCCAACATCGAGTTTAGTAAGTATGTGTCCGAGCGAACACGTAAGTGACTGGTTGTGTCCCTCGCTTTAGTGCATAGTGTCATTTTTCCTTCTAGCAGCAGCGTTGTTAATGACTAAGGTCTAGTTACGTGAAATTAGATGGTAAAATTCCGTTTATGCAGAGATTATGGGTGTCAAATATGAAGAGTGACAAATGAAGGTAAGCGCTTTGTTATGCACGCATAGTATAATGCAGTTTGCACACTGCTGGAGTGTGATCTCTTCTTGTAATGCCTTAAAGATTGTTATAAGACTAAAACACAAGATAAAACTTGTTATACATGTGTAACCGTTTCTGTTCACAGGAACTCTATTTCACCATGGGAAACACACCATCAAAGAGTAGCAGTGGAGAGGAACTGGTCAAAACAACTTTGTTTGAAAAGGAGCCAAATGGGATAACATACAGAATTCCTGCTCTCATTTATCTCAGACACCATCACACCTTCCTTGCCTTTGCAGAGAAAAGATCATCATCATTAGACCAAGATGCCAAAATTCTTGTTATGAGAAGAGGAACGTTGAAAGATGATGGATCTGTTCAGGTTATTATTTGCACGTTTGCTTTGCTTAAATGCTGACAACTATCAGTATATGTGCTCCTCTTTGTAATGATCTTGTGATGTTTTTCCAGTGGTCATCCAGTCAGGAGCTGTCAACGGCATGTCTACCAAACCATCGCACCATGAATCCTTGCCCTGTGTATGAAAAAAACAATAAAATACTGTTTTTATTTTTTATCTGCATCTGGGGAGAGACCACAGAGCGTAGGCAGATCATCACAGGCAAGAACAAGACACGTCTTTGCTATGTTAGCAGCAGCGATGACGGGCAAACTTGGAGTCAAGCAAAAGACTTAACAGAAAGTGTGATTGGTGAAACTATCCATAAGTGGGCCACATTTGCTGTGGGTCCTGGGCATGGTGTGCAGCTGGAGAATGGCAGATTGATCATCCCAGCATATGCCTATTATGTCCGTTACAGATGCTGTTCCTTCCCCATTCCTTACACAGTCGATCCACATTCACTATCAGTTTATAGTGAGGACTTTGGGCAGACATGGCATATAGGTAAGATGCTTCAAAAAAATTCATCTGAATGTGCAATGGCAGAGATCATAGACCATGAGGGCAGAGGTCATCTTTACTGCAATGCTCGTCACAACGGAGGCCACAGATGTGAGGCCTTGAGTGAAAACAGCGGTGTGTTTTTTGACAAGCCACATATGGCTCCAGAGCTCGTCGAGCCACCTAGAGGCTGTCAAGGCAGCGTTGTTGGGTTTCCTGCTCCTGAATTTGTCCCAAACGAGGATGCTGAAAGCAAAGCTTGTGGCACATCGCTCTTATCCCCAGACACACAAACATGGCTTCTCTTCATGCACCCAACCAATAAATCTAGTAGAAGGGACATGGGTGTGTATTTGAATCGATCCCCCCTGCACTCGTCTGGATGGGACAAGCTAAGGATCATCCACAGCGGGCCCAGTGGTTACTCAGACCTGGCTTACATTGAGGACAAGGATCAGTTTTCATGCCTGATTGAGTGTGGGAAAGGACGTGAACTTGAGCAGATAGCATTCATGTCGTTTACTCTTAATGATGTCAGGCAGACAGGCATCAAGAAGGAAAAGAAGACGCGTTGACTGGTGGTTTTATTTCTGTATTAGCAAAGCTCTCTAACAACTTCTGCCAACTAAGAAAACAAACAAAAGCCATTAGATATGCTGTGCAACACCTACCTGTGTTTACTGTTATGCATTCTGGAGATAATGCGTGCATGAAGCATGTGTTTTGTTGCCTCCTTTTTTACATGACTAGCTACTTCTACTACAGAAACCTACCAGAAACCACTTATTTAAGCTCTTTGTATAACTGTAATAGGTCAATAATGTTACCAAACAAACACATCAGTTATAGATTGTAATGCATCCAGAAGGAAGAATGCCACGTTCAAATCAAATTTGAGTCCTTTAGATGTTTTTAACGCTTTCCATCTCAAAAAGCCAAACTGATGAAAAACCCTTTGCTAGGTGGCAGGCAGGGTTAATTTAGAGACTGTATCTTGACAACACAAAGTAGAGAAGCTGGGATACCAGGAGGGCTGTAGGCAGCAGAGTGTCACGGAGGGGGGCAGGATGGCAGAGAGACACCATGTCCTGTTACGTTTTCACCTGATATTTCAGACATGTAAAATCTTAGTTAATGCACCTTTAAAGCATGCAATGCTGGACTGCCATTCTTAAAAGAGGCTTAATGTGTCGCATGTTTGACGAGCGCTTCATTCCTATTTCTGCAGCTTATTAAAGTGTCTGTGTTTTCTGAGTAGTGGAGAGAATTTGCCTACCTCTCTTTATTTTCATATGAAGATCATAGGCCTTGTAGAGTAGAGCGTAGAGTTTTCCTCCAGACTCAGTCTCTCCTTTACATTTAGTATAATCTGATTCACCTAAGCCTTGTACTCCGCTGTTGAATTTAAGGTGTGCCATAGCCTGTCAGTGCACAACCTTTTGCATTGTTCACAGTAGGTGCTATAAAATTGACAACAAACTTGGACAGAAAAGCCAAATGTTTACTCTTTACTTTCCACATTTAGCCAATCAGCGAAGAGACCAACTAAACTGTACCTGATCTGTATTCTTTTTTTAAACATTTGACTATTAACTGAGAGAGAGAGAGAGGGATACTTGTCAAGTCATTTTCAAAAGCCATATTTCACTTGGTTACAATATTTACTTATTTTCTATTTTCGAGCACATTTAGCACCATTTTCTGGACAGGCTTTATTCTTGGCATTATTAAATGCAGTCTTATAACAAGGTATGAGCCAGGTGGCTGACTGTTGGTTATCAAATAAGAGCATATAACAGCAGATGAAGAGTCACTATTTATACATTTGCACACACAAACCTTGTACAGAGTGACTTTAACATCCCTCTTTGCCTAATGTTGTGATGCAAAATGCCATGAGGTGGTTCTACACTAGTTTCATTGTGTTTTTGTTGGCTGTTGTAGAAAGTGACAAAACCTGCATGAAACATGTATTTTAGTAGAAAATAAAAGTAACTTGTGATCACCTGACTCATCTTTTATTGCAGGTTGGTTCACATTGTTTCCATCCATCCATCCATCCATTTTCCTCCGCTTATCCGGGACCGGGTCGCGGGGGCAGCCCGGAACACCTCCCTAGGAAGGTGCCCAGGAGGCATCCGAAACAGATGCCCGAGCCACCTCAAAAGCCCTTTATGAATAGATTAAAATCAAGGACCGTGACGTCGTCTGGCATGGCGCAGCCGGGGCCCCACCCTGGAGCCAGGCCCGGGGTTGGGGCTCGAATGCGATGTGTAATTACCATAATAATTATTGCTTTTAACAGCTGACTGTCAGAATAAATGTAAGTAAAACAAGTTAAACAATAATTATCTGTCAAATGGGGCAAGGGGTTAAAGAATACATAGAGTATTGCTGTTTTAAAAAGTAATTATGAGAAGCAGTTTATCAGCTGTCAGCAGGCTAAGAGCTGTAGTATGTTGGAAAGATAAACCCACCACAGTTAACAGAAAAGCTGTGTCACGACATGATTTGTATGCCGTCTGAGTATCTTGTCAAATGACTATAACAATAAAAAATACACTTAGCAAGATAATAATGTTGCATCCTTAGAAGCTCAAAGGAAGGCTAATGATAATTAGCTAATTAGATAATGGTTTAGTTTTCTAGAAAAGAGGAAGTAGAATCCAAGGCCGGATCACAGTGGGGCGGAGGCCGGTTACGGGCAGTAGGCTTGGACTGACAGTAAAAAAGGTCAAGGTCAAAGTGTTTATTTGTCATATGCACAGTTAGGAAACGTATTTCCCTGTACAATGAAATTCTTACTTTGCCGTCCACATGAATGCCACAAAATACAAATGAAATATAAAGTAGATGAATAAGTAACACAAAATCTAAGGCACTTTAAGCAGCAAATGCAGCAATATCTTCTTCTTTCAGCTGTTCCCGTTAGAGGTCGCCACAGCGAATCATCAGTTTCCACCTAACTCTATCCTCAGCATCTTCTACTCTCACCCCAATTAACCTCATGTCCTCTTTTAGCACATCCATATATCTCCTCTTTGGCCTTCCTTGTGACCTCTTGCCTGGCAGCTCCATCTCCAACATCCTTCTACCAATATAACCACTATCCCTCCTCTGCACATGTCCAAACCATCTCAATCTGGCCTCTCTGACTTTGTCCCCAAAACAGCTGACCTGAGCTGTCCCTCTGATGTGCTCATTCCTAATCCTGTCCATCCTGGTCACTCCTAAAGAGAACCTCAACATCCTCATCTCTGCTACCTCCATCTCTGCCTCTTTTCTATTCCTCACTGCTACAGTCTCTAATCCATACAGCATAGCTACAATATTTAAAACTCATGCACCTTGTTGACCTCAGCCCCCTGTAACCTCACTGTTCCACTTCCCTCCCTCTCATTCATACACATGTATTCCATCTTACTACGACAGACTTTCATTCCTCTTCTTTCCAGAGCAGACCTCCACCTTTCCAGGTGTTCCTCCAGCTGCTCTCTGCTCTCACTACAGATCACAATGTCATCCACAAACATCATTGTTTGTGGAGATTCCTGTCTGACTTCATCTGTCAACCTGTCCATCACCATAGCAAACAAGAAGGGACTCAAAGCCGATCCTTGATGTAGCCCCACCTCCACCTTGAACTCCTCTGTCTGACCTACAGCACATCTCACTACTGTCGTACTCCTCTCATACATATCCTGGACTACTCTGATGCACTTCTCTACCACTCCTGACATCCTCATACAGTACCATAGCTCCTCTCTCGGCACTCTGTCGTACGCTTTCTCTAAATCCACAAAGACACAATGCAGCTCCTTCCGACCATCTCTATACTTCTCCATTAACATTCTCAGAGCAAAGCAAACAAGAAGGGACTCAAAGCCGATCCTTGATGTAGCCCCACCTCCACCTTGAACTCCTCTGTCTGACCTACAGCACATCTCACTACTGTCGTACTCCTCTCATACATATCCTGAACTACTCTGACGTACTTCTCTGCCACTCCTGACATCCTCATACAGTACCATAGCTCCTCTCTGGGCACTCTGCCGTACGCTTCCGACCATCTCTATACTTCTCCATTAACATTCTCAGAGCAAAAATTGCATCAGTACTGCTCTTTCTGGGCATGAAACCATACTGCTGCTCACAGATATCCACTTCCTTTCTTAGCCTAGCTTCCACTACTCTTTCCCATAGCTTCATTGTGTGGCTCATCAACTTTATACCTCTGTAGTTGCTACAACTCTGCACATCACCCTTGTTCTTAAAGATCGGCACTAGTACACTTCTCCTCCATTCCTCAGGCATCTTCTCACTCTCTAAAATCCTGTTGAACAAACTAGATAGAAACTCCACTGCTGTCTCTCCTAGACACTTCCACACCTCTACTCTGTCTCTACTTCTGTCTGAATTCCTCACAACATTCTTTCTTTTGCAACCTACACCACTTGGTCTTCTTTTCTGTCTTTCCTCTCCTCTTCTTCCTGACCACCAGAGTCATCCTACACACCACCATCTGAAGCTGTCTGGCTACACTTTCTCCTACCACCACTTTTCAGTCACTAATCTCTCTCAGATTGCCTCGTCTACATAGAATGTAGTCTACCTGCGTACTCCTACCTCCACTCTTATATGTAACTCTATGTTCCTCCCTCTTCCTGAAATAGGTGTTAACTACAGCCATTTCCATCCTCTTAGCAAAGTCCACCACCATCTGTCCTTCTAGGTTCCTTCTTTTGACACCATCCATCACCTCCTCATCACCTTT